AAAGAATTGTGTAATATATTTAAAAAACCCTGTGTAATATATTTAAAACTGTATAATCAACTGTCTGTAATTCATCAGTGACAGATACATAAGAAGTCCTGTCACAATGTAGAAAAATATACAAGATATTTCTTGTCCTGAAAGAAAATCTTTCAAAAATTTGTTTTCCTTTACTCATAAATTTTAATGCATCTGTTACCATGCGTTTTGCACTACACACGTTCACTTTGAATAGAGTTAAGAGGCAAGGCAACACTTCTACTATCAATAAAAATAATATATAAACTTAATAGAATGGAGGCAGTCTATTAATAAGCACCAAATTTAAATTTTTACCTTGGTTTGGAAATGATGAGGGAAAGAAATAAAGAAACCAGACTGAAAGGAACTGGTAAACTGAGCCACAGATAATCCTTTGATTTCCAAGGTTTGCTTGTGCCTTTTGCCTTATTATTTGGGGGGCAAATGCATAGAAAACCAGCTTCAGCAGGAACAGCAGACAAAGTGACCTCAACTGCACCTTGGTTCTTAGCTGGTGGTTAGGGCAATCTCCTAGAAAGTGGGAAATTGGGGTTTGAAGTCCCTCAGACTCAGAAGAGCCTACCACACAGGTTTCCCAACTCCTGAGTAAATGCCAAAACTACAAGAACACTACAAGAAATGGAAGGGTGTAGGTAGGTGTCTGAGGGTGCATCCAGATGTTACATTTAGATCAGCCTAACTGGGGTTAAGTCTAAAACACCCATCTGTGCAGACATTCAAGTAGCTTACATCAGACCAAAAACAGCAGGCCCAATTTAAATTAGGTCACATGAGTAGGTGAACAAGTTAACCTGATCCAGTGAACACATGTACTGGTTCAAAGTGCAGCCCCTGGGGCTCTGCTCTTCCTACCCCCTGACCCTGACCAAGCTATTTTTAGCCCACAAACAGCCTAACACCAGACAGACACCATCCCCCATCCCTCACCGACCTGCCAGCTTCCTGATCCCACCACCACCCTGTAGACCCTCTAGCACCCCCCTGCCCTGATCCTGCCCATCTCTCCCCACACAGTAAGTCACTTATACCAGGTTCCCTGCATGGCTCTTGGCACTAGTGAATAACTGTACATACTACTCCCAATCTATAATCACGCAACTTAAAGCAAGCCTGGTGATTGTATACCAGATGTGGTAAACATACCCTAAGTCTAGTAAAGAAGTGGAAATCCAGACATGTGCCTCTCTTTAGGGTTTCTGATTGGCTGTCTGAGGCATCCCCCCTTGAGTGTGCCAAACGTTTTGAATAACACCTGGACATTGAATTCCCTCCATTTAAAGTTTACAGAACATACTTCGTTAAGATTTGTGAATTGCATTTCTAGACTCCAGTATCTAAGGTTTAATCACAGAAAAGTTCAGTATTCCCACATTGAAGTTCTTTTGGATGTCCATACTATATATACAGGATTCCCAGGTGTGAATGTCCCAAAGCCAGGGAGACAGCAATAAAACCACTCTCAAGACATGCTTTTAAGAAGTGCCTCTAAAATAGTTACAGGGATGCTCTCAGAGCAGTTTCACAGGTGTATTCCTAATTTTGGTACATATAAACAGGAGGGAATGCACAAAGCATATTCAGGAGTTTTCCTCCTCAGGAAGAGGAGGGACATAGCGCAAACATATCCTTTGCAAATGTATTCCTAATGCCTGAGTCAATATATTTTTGGTTCATAGAACTGACCATACCATTTAAAAGTCTGCCTCTATGAAAATCTAAGGGCATGTTTCACCCTACTATATAGTCACAAGTATCATTGTTTAGTCCATTAAAAAGCCCAGTCAGTTCACATAATGCTTCATGACCGTCTATCCTTTTTGCATCTCTCTATGACTAGAATAGTTCCCATTACTCATTACTGAGTTGATTTTCTTTAATCCACATGTAAATATACTTGTGAGATAGTAAAGGGAACAGAAACTACTCAGAAAGTGCCAGCTGATAATTTCCTTTGCATTTGAAAGTTCATAGTGAACTGCTTAGGTATTCCTTTGCATAGCTCCTGGAACAAGAGGCAAGACCTTGGAAATTGCAGGGTAGGAAAACAGCGGCTCTGTCTACAAGTGTGCTTTAATGCAGAGTAGACTAAGTAGCTGTGGAGTAAAACATCACTCAGCAATGATATTAGGACTTAGTAAACTAATTAACACCACCACAGGACAGAATTGTCTTACAGCAGAGTAAGCAACTGTGATTAAAGGCATGGGTAGATGCTGACTGCAGGTGTAAATTGCACCTGGTCAGGCCAGCCAGTAGAGGGCCAATCTCCTGCCTCCCACCTAGCCACACGACTTCACACTTTGAGCACCCTTGTGCTCTGCCACCGAGAGCCCAGTGGGAGGAGTGGCCCTGGCATAAATTGCTCCGTCCCAGCTCAAATTGCTCCTGTCCCAGGGGCATGTGTAAATGCTGCAGCTGGAAGTAGTTTATTTTGGTTCCAACTGCCCCAGGGTTTATTGCTTCAAATTTATTACATGTGTAGATGCACCCAATGACCACCGAACATGAGCTTTGGACTGATGTAGCAGAAGCATGGTCACTTAGAACATGCAGTCATGTGGTTTATGCTCAGGCAGTGAGAATAGCTCTTTAAAAGAAAACATAACCCCTAATCATTTTGTTTTCATTATTCGTTATACTTTATTCTGCTGGAGAGTATAAAGGGCCAAATTTTACCTGTGAACTAACTAGTGGCGAATGACAGTGTGTATTTTCCAGTTTCTCCTCATGCTTTGACCTATGCTTTTAAAATCCAGAGTAGGGATTTCCAAAGTAGATGTCAGCAACCAAGTGTGGATCAGTCTTCAGAAAAGACTGCCATTCATGAAATACTTGAGTATACAATTTTCCTCAAGAGGTATTTATACATCATCTTTATACTGTGTCAGATAATCCTTAAAACCGAAAAATAAACAAAATAAACCCCCACTCCGCACTACCAATCTCAAACACTTTAGCAGTTGGAATACTATCACCTTCCTGGGGCCTTTCCTTCCACTTGATAAAATCTGTTGATAATGCAGATAACCTTTGCTGTAGTGTTTTCAAACCAAACAAGAAACTTGTAATAACATAGAATGTTAAAATATTTTGCTGGGCTTATTTGATTATGTGCATCTGTGGTTAGTGCATCACGATGTGTGTCCTTTTTGTTCATTCCCAAAGGGAAAAGAAGCAAGTATTCTGTTCAGATAGATCACTGATTAATGTTCACAGCTCTCAACTTTTGCTGGCTTCAGGAACTGTTTATTGAAAATATGTAGCTGAGTCTCAAAGCCAACAACATTCCCCCAGGGTGCCCATTAGGCAGAAGGGCAGCACAGTTGTAAACAATCTATTTTGTAAAGTTGAGGAATGTGATAGAAAAGACATCTAAGTAGTATTTGGTAAATATTTCATATTCTGGAATGCACAGCTTGCAGGCAAAGAGAAAAAAGGGAAGACAATAATTTTGAAACAGTTTCCATGGGAAAAAAAGGCTAAAATATTTCAATAATAATAATAAAGCTGATACTTGTTCAAGTGAAGAATAGAAAATAAGAGGCAACAACTTACAAATACTTATGGGTGTTCCAATTCACCAAATGTGTGCCTATAAATATCAACCAGATAATGATGGCTCAAGGGGCAGAGATGTATGAATATTTTTGTATGCAATTGTTTCTTTTTTTCTCTTGTACCTTGTAGGGCACTTATCTTCTTGGATTATAAACTCTGTAGATCACTGAGCCTGTCTTTACATGTGTACAGCCCCATGCACCATGGAACCGAGGCTTTTGAGAAACAGTATAATGCAGTGAAAATAATGTTGCCTCATGGAGCTTAGTACAGCTTTGTAATTTTAGTTATCAGGAGCATACAATCATTAGCTTTGCAGAGCTGGTCAAATTTTGATAACTTACTATGCTTCTCATTTACATTTAAGTCCCCTTACATAGCCAGAGGGGATAAGAGTAGCTTCTTGGGCTTTATGTATGTATATATGTATGTAATGCCACACCTCCATTATTTATAATCACACAGGAATGGATCTTGGATTCCCTGTGGTAAATATAGCACATTGTATGGGTGGCCACCTAAGCCACATGATACTGTGTCTAAGCAGGATACTGAATGACAAGTGATGACAAAGGATTTATTGTAACAAATTTTCATACAATAATAATGTATTCAGAAACTCTTGAGGTGTATAAATTGTCTCATGAACACCTGCTGATAACCTGGCCTCTTACAATACAGAAATAACAGACATCCACAACCTGCAGCAATCAAAATCATGACTTTAATTATTGAAATAGACATATTCAGTCATTGGGATTAGGGTCAAATATATTTAACCTGGATTCCAAGTATTGAATATGTTCATTACTTAAGAATTAGTAATGATAAAAGCACAACAATACCTTATAATAAATTTAGGGTCAGAGCCACTAGGGATTATTACATACCTTTATATATATATATATAAAGGTAAATAACAGGACCCATATTTTATATATATATATAAAACTAGGAACAAGTATAGAGGTTTACAGCAAAAGCTGTATTAACCAGCACTTCTAGCTGGAAAACTCTATTAACCGGCATCCGAGGGACGCGGCAAAAGCAAATCCGAAAGTATCACATGCGGGATTCGCTGCCGTGAGCAGAGTTTTCTTTACCACTTCGTTGGCCCACTGCCCAGGGCAAAGCAGCCTGTGTGGGGCAAAGCAGACTGAGCAGGGTCCCCTCCCTGTCTCCTAGCACACTGAGGCCTGGGAGTGCACCAGATGGTGCACATTTGATTAACCAGAATATTTGATTAACCGGCATCCCTCATTCCCCGGGGATGCTGGATAACAGAGCTTTTCCTGTATATTCAATATTTTAATTAATACATTGTCACCTGAGAGTTTAATGAGTTTTGAAATTCCTGCAGTGAACATGGCCTGAGTTCTGGCCATGTCAGTGTATAATTTACAGTCAGAGTCACTAGAGATTATTTTAAATGTATGTATCTATCTATCTATACACACATACACACACACACATACATATATATGTGTGTGCGTGTGTGGCTTTGATTATTATGTATGTCCTGTTATTTACTTATAAACCAATATCAAACCTAATGATTCTGTGCTCCTGGTAAGTGAAATTACAACGCTCTATCAAGCTCCATTAGTCAATATTATTTTCACTTCATTATATTGTTTCTCAAAAGCCTATGTAAATAACAGGACCTATATAATAATCAGAGCTATTAGGGATATATATATATATAACCCTAGTGGCTCTGACCCTAAATTATACACTGACATGGCAAGAACTCGGGCCATGTTCACTGCAGGAATTTCAAGACTCATTAAACTTCCTGGTGACAATGTCTTAATTAAAATATTAAATCTAAACCACTCTGCTGTTTCCTACTTTTATATTTCAGTTCAAAAGAAATTAACACCTCAAAGCTAATTCTTTGGCCTCCATCAATTGTTAGGTTTTTTTGTGTGCGCGCCATTACACTGTATGTGAACTACATCTGTTGCAGACAGATTGAATATTTGGATTTAACAACCAAATTAATTATACATAGTTCATACCTAAAAGGGAAAAGGAAAAAAATAAATTTCTGAAAAAGTACTATATATTTCTGCATTGATAAGGAACAAAACCCAAGACTTTTAAAAAAGTTTAATGAAAAAATGTTTAGAGATCTTCCCTTCACAAATAATCAGTACCTTGCTGATTATGGTACTTAGTTCAGTGTAAAACCCAAGTTCAAAACCCTGATTTTTACCAGAACTTTCAAACTGCAAATAACTATTGGATTAAACTTGCTAAATTACCTTAGAATCTGTGTTGACTTTTTTCTGGTTGTGAATGAATACAATGGGTAGTACAATGAGTACAAGGAGTCTCATCTTCTCCACTCATGCTCACAAGTGTCAATGTTCCATGAACTATGTAAACTTTGGCATGGTTGCTTTTTGCTTGTCTTTTTTATATTTCCACCAATCTGGCTTGCACTCCAGGATTTGCTGCCATTAGGAATGTGTTGTAAATCTAGAAGATACACAAGTAAACAGAAAAAACTATAAGTTATTATCCTTGCTCCATTTTTTCAGAATAGTCCTGTTTTCATCAGCTGGTAAAGAAACATGCAGCTCAACTGTTCCTGTATACATTAAAGTTAGAGGAAAGATACTCATTGGATGTGTCTACATATTGCCATACAGCAATATTGCTACAGTGCCATGCTTTAGTAGTTCCTTTGGAGTATTTAAAAGTAAATAACAGGACCGTTTTCAGGAAAAAAATGAGAAAGGTTCAAAACGGTATGCAGAATGTAGGCCTGATTCAGTTTCAACATATTAATTCAACCACATTCAACCTCAGAATCTGGTACAAAATTCAATGTTGCATGGGGCAAATACTGATCCCTTGAGGAGTCTGAGTAATTGACTTTAGATGGAGAATACCACTGGAGGTTTAAGGGAATGGAAATATAGCCACCACTACTCTCTATTAAAATGTATTTTCTAATGGATTTACATACAAACACACTATTTATGTCCCATTTCCTGTAACGTTGCATAAACTCACTATAAAAAAAATACCCTGAAAAAAACACTCATATGGAAATCTGTTGACTCCTCCTTTACAGAGAAGTGTAAGGGTTTTCTCCCAGGTTACCTTCAAATCAGCATGAAGGTTCTTAAAACAACAACTTGTTGTTCAAAGGGTGTTAAACCATCATAAGTGCCCTCTAAACATTTTAAAGATTAGCCACTCAAAAGAAGGGTTATCTTGGCAACGTTTTACCCAGGTTGTTACAGTGTATTGTTGGAAAGGCCAGAGGCTGTAAAACACTTTACTTTCATTCCTCTAGCATCCCAGCATGCACAGCTCCCAGCCACTATCCATTTCCCACCTTCCAAAACTCTAGTACCACACTCTCCCCTCCACAACCGCTCCAAATGAAAGAACTACTCTGAGCAGCTTAACTGCAGAGAGACCACAGAGTCAGAAAAGCCTGCTTCCCCCAGCCACATGGTCTTGCTGATGGAAGACTCAATTTCAGCATGACCAGAGAGCCTACGTGAAGTGTGCTTCCTCGGGGCTCTCTGGGCTACCTGAAGTGAGGCTCTGTATTGAGAGTGGAGCTGCTACTGCAGAGAACCTGGGGAAAGCAGCTTCCCCAGGGCTCTCCGGTCTTGCACAGCTGCAGGAGCTCCATGCTGAGTGGGGCCTGGTGGTCCCACTCTCAGTGGGGAGCATCCATGGCACCTTCAGTGAGACCAAAGAGTCAAGGAGAAGCAGCTTCTTGGGGCTTTCTGGTCTGGCCAAGCTGCAGTAGCCCAGCTCTCAGCGTAGAACGGCTGCAACAGTGTCAGTGAGACCAGAGAGCCCTGAGGAAGCTTCTTCTGAGCTACTAGCCTGTTTCCC